GTCTAGTTGGCAGCCAGTATCAAGTGGAGTGCCCCAAGGGTCGGTCCTGGGGCCGGTTTTGTTCAATATCTTCATAAATGATCTGGAGGATGGTGTGGATTGCACCCTCAACAAGTTTGCAGATGACACTAAACTGGGAGGAGAGGTAGATACGCTGGAGGGTAGGGATAGGATACAGAGGAACCTAGACAGATTAGAGGATTGGGCCAAAAGAAATCTGATGAGGTTCAACAAGGACAAGTGGAGAGTCCTGCACTTAGGATGGAAGAATCCCATGCACCGCTACAGACTAGGGACCGAATTGTTAGGCAGCAGTTCTGCAGAAAAGGACCTAGGGGTTACAGTGGACGAGAAGCTGGATATGAGACAACAGTGTGCCCTTGCTGCCAAGAAGGCCAATGGCATTTTGGGATGTATAAATAGGGGCATCGCCAGCAGATCGAGGGACGTGATCGTTCCCCTCTATTTGACATTGGTGAGGCCTCATCTGGAGTACTGTGTCCAGTTTTGGGCCCCACACTACAAGAACGATGTGGAAAAATTGGAAAGTCTCCAGCAGAGGGCTACAAAAATGGTTAGGGGACTGGAACACATGACTTATGAGGAGAAGCTGAGGGAACTGGGATTGTATAGTCTACGGAAGAGAAGAATGAGGGGGAATTTGATAGCTGCTTTCAACTACCTGAAAGGGGGTTCCAAAGAGGATGGATCTAGACTGTTCAGTGGTAGCAGATGACAGAACTAGGAGTAATGGTCTCAAGTTGCAGTGGGGGAGGTTTAGGTTGGATATTAGGAAAAACTTTTTCACTAGGAGAGTGGTGAAACACTGGAATGTGTTACCTAGGGAGGTGGTGGAATCTCCTTCCTTAGAAGTTTTTAAGGTCAGGCTTGACAGAGCCCTGGCTGGGATGATTTAGTTGGGGATTGGTCCTGCTTTGAGCAGGGGGTTGGACTAGATGACCTCCTGAGGTCTCTTCCAACTCTAATCTGTGATTCTATGATTCCCAGAATAGACAACCCAGTTCCAGTTTCTCTGCTCCCTTCCCCACAGAACCCAGCCAGAGGGCCAGATGCCTACACCCCTCAGCCCAGACAGCCACACCCTCTACCCCTCAGAGCTCAGCCGCAGCCCAAACACTCACATGCACCCCCTACCCTCCCAGTGACAGGGATCCAGAGGGGGCAATAGCCTGATGCTGTGTCTTGGGCTTGTGTGGAGTTTCCTGCACATCGCCTCCTTCCTTCAGGATATGCCAGGAACTGCAGCTGCTGAAAACCCTCCAGCTCCTCCTCCTACTTCTCTGGAAGTGTTTTCTATTTGCGAGCTGGGCTCTGCTGCTGGGTCCAGTAGCCCCTAGTGGCAGCCAGCAGCTTTACAGCCCATTACTGTGGGGTGGGGGGGGGAGAAAATCCTGCGCAGAACATTGATTTCTGTTCAAACTTTGTATTGTATAGTGGTGCAGAATTCCCCCAGGAGTAATCCTCATTTCAGCTGCTTATCTCAGTTTTGCCTACAGGAGTATTTTGCCTTTTAAGAGGGGATGGGAGGATAAAATGTTCTTTACTTTCAAGAGTAAGGCTTGTATTATAGCTATAAGGTTTATATCTTTGTAGCAATACTCCCAACAAATGGCTTTGTGACTGATTATTACTCACAGTGGTTGTTTATTGCTTTGTGTACTACAAAGCCATAGAAATTGTCAGTTACTCAGTGGTCAATCATCTAGCACATGCTGTCTAGCCTAATGAAGAAAAAAATTAAATATATGGGTCATAATTGCAATAATCCCCATAGACTGCTGTCTGTAACTGCAGTTAATAACTGGTTTGTCAGAGTTTAATGGTCTGAAACAAAATGGTTTTCAAGACTGTTACTTAGCTGTCGCTGAAAAAATCTGAATGATTCATTAAGCAAAAAAGAAACATTTTGTTAACATATCATCTGTCCTTCCAATTATCCTCTAGCAATGCTGTATTCACCAAATTTAAGCCTGCTGATTACATGGCTTTGTTAATAAAGCATTACTTCTGTCACTGGAAATTACTGCATGGAGATAAATAGCATGCACCAAATTTCACCCAGTGAAATTCACCTGACCCACAAGCAATTTATGCAGGGAAAGTGCGGGGGAGGGGGAGGACGGGGAGGAGGTGGTCAAGAAGTTGGGGAGGAAAATTCTCCCTCTAATGGACAATAAAAGTAGAAGGCAGCAGTGCGGTCTCTCAGTGACCACAGCTCCAGCCAGTACTGTAGTCAGAGGTAAACAGAGTTAACCAACTTCTCATTTGGGGAATATGGGGTGTGGTTTAGGTTAGTTTACATACTACTTTTTTTACCACTAAACCATTGGCTTCAGCCTATAGGCAAGAGGGCTCGAGAAGCAGACAAGCCCCGTACTTTCGTGGGGTTTAAGGAGTACTAGGTCTACACATGCATGGATCCCATAGTCCTTCACTGGCTGTCCTCTACAATACTATGTGGGGTTGGTGTTGAAAAATCCCTTTCAGGTGCACAGGTCTCCCTCCATGCTTCCTCACGCTACTACAAGACAAGGCTGATGTGGCATGTATGCCCTTGTACTGACCCCACACACTGCATCTCTAATGCACAACACCACATCTCCAAAATCTCTCGCTGACATAGGAGATGAAGGTTTCCCAGGTTTTAGAAAAAATAATTACCTCCACAGCTGTGAGATACATATATAGGGTATGACACTAAACTGGGAGGAGAGGTAGATACACTGGAGGGTAGGGTTAGGATACAGAGGGAGCTAGACAGATTAGAGGATTGGGCCATAAGAAATCTGATGAGGTTCAACAAGGACAAGTGCAGAGTCCTGCACTTAGGATGGAAGAATCCCAATCCCACCACTACAGACTAGGGACCGAATTGCTAGGCAGCAGTTCTGCAGAAAAGGACCTAGGGGTTACAGTGGACGAGAAGCTGGATATGAGTCAACAGTGTGCCCTTGCTGCCAAGAAGGCCAATGGCATTTTGGGCTGGATAAGTAGGGGCATTGCCAGCAGATCGAGGGACATGATCATTCCCCTCTATTCAACATTGGTGAGGCCTCATCTGGAGTACTGTGTCCAGTTTTGGGCCCCACACTACAAGAAGGATGTGGAAAAACTGGAAAACATCCAGCGGAGGGCAACAAAAATGATTAGGGGACTGGAACACATGACTTACAAGGAGAAGCTGAGTGAACTGGGATTGTTTAGTCTGCGGAAGAGAAGAATGAGGGGGGATTTGATAGCTGCTTTCAACTACCTGAAAGGGGGTTCCAAAGAGGATGGATCCAGACTGTTCTCAGAAGTAGCAGATGACAGAACAAGGAGTAATGGTCTCAAGTTGCAGTGGGGGAGGTTTAGGTTGGATATTAGGAAAAACTTTTTCACTAGGAGGTTGGTGAAGCACTGGAATGCGTTACCTAGGGAGGTGGTGGAATCTCCTTCCTTCGAAGTTTTTAAGGTCAGGCTTGACAAAGCCCTGGCTGGGATGATTTAGTTGGGGATTGGTCCTGCTTTGAGCAGGGGGTTGGACTAGAGGACCTCCTGAGGTCCCTTCCAACCCTGATATTCTATGATTCTATGGAGAAAGATCTGGGATTTGTTTTCCAGGGGAAAATTCAAGCAGCTTCATAAAACTATTTAAGGGCTGGAAGGACAGATTTCTGAGGAAAGATTTAAGGAAATAAATATGTATAACTTGGCTAAATGAACAGCTAAATAGAAGGAGGTGAAGGAGGGATGAAAACATAACTGCTCACAAGTATCAGAGGAGTATAAATATCAAGGAGGGAGAGGCATTGTTTAGAGTGATTCTAGGGGTTTCAACTGCTATGGGACAGAGCAAAGGAAAAGGTAGGCTGACTATCAGGAGACAGGTCCTAGGAACAAGGCCTCCTAGACTGTGGAATAATTTATTGCCAGCTGGATCCATTTTAGAGGTGGTTGGAACATTTTCGACAAAATAAAACTTTGCCAAAAAATTCCATTTCGTCAAAACTGAAATGTTGGGTGGAGACTTACCAGTTTAGACAATGTTTTCACTGAAGGGGGCGAGGGATCAGCTCTCCCACTCTATAGCCTGGTGGTTAAGGCTCATGGGAGGTGGCAGACCCAGGCTCAATTCTCTGCTTTGCCTAATTTAGAGTGATCTGGCTCTCCCGCAAGCCAGGCCTGTGCTCTAACAACCAGGCAACATGCACGCCTCTTCCCAAATCGAATAGCTTAGGTTTCGATCTGAATATGGACTGTCAACCTAACTCCATTTTCATGAAAACCTTCAAACAGGTTTATTTCATTTCCAATGCAGAACAAAAACAACATTTAAAAACCTTCAAAAGGTGCCACAAAATGGAATTGTTGTCCTCTGGCCACCTCCAATCCACTCATCCAAAGACAAACCAACAGTCAAATCTGAAGCTTTTAAATCCACCCTGATGTAACTCCGTTGATTTCAGTGGTGAGACACAGATGATGAATATGATCATGGAATTTACTATGAATGCTTTAAGATTGTTGTATAACACTCATTTTATATCAAATCATACTGATGGGTGACCCTCAAATGTTGGCAGACCTGCCAGGCTTGGATAAACTTATGAAATCTCTGAATCTTATCCAAAGTTGGTAAGGTTTGGAAATAGGACAGGAGGTTCTCTCATAAGAATTCCAGAGCTTCCTGGTTTGAGCCAGGCTTAAACTGTCAGACCAGTCTATTATATGGATTATTCCCTCCATTCCAGATCCAGCCTTAATCCTTAAATGACAGTCACACAAAAGTTTTGAGAAATTCACTAAAAAAGTTTACAGATTTTTTTTAATTGGAAAAGATTGGGTGTCTGGGATTAGTTATTTTATCCCAGCTGGTACGCCCCTCTATAATGAAGATCACAATAGGTGCAGAGAGTGGCAGCAAAAGGATTCAAACATCACTGACCTTGAGAACAATATGAAATTTCCTTGATGTCAAAACACCGAGCTGTACTCACCTATAATTTCAGCAATCATGAAGATGAGACAAATTATCGATGCTGCATAGAGCTTCCGCTTGGCTTGACACTGTTCTATTTTTCTGCTCTCATAGGCCGTTGAGTGGCTATGGCAGTGGTTCAGTGGATTATCTTCAGCATCCTCTGATTCCTCCTGACATTCTTCTTTGTTTAAATTATTCTGCTGCAATCCCATCCTAGGAGATTGAAAGAACCAGAAGATTACAAAGCTATTACTATTCAGGGGTACACTCCTGCAATCCCATACCTCTGTGCCTAATCACTGAAGTCAAAAGCACCATTGAACCTCAGTTGGACTACTCACATGAGAGATTTACTCACATGAGTAAAAAGAAAAGGAGTACTTGTGGCACCTTAGAGACTAACCAATTTATTTGAGCATAAGCTTTCGTGAGCTACAGCTCACTTCATCGGAATCATCTAGTCTCTAAGATGCCACAAGTACTCCTTTTCTTTTTGCGAATACAGACTAACACGGCTGTTACTCTGAAATCTGTCACATGAGTAAAGGGTGTGCAGGGTGAGGTTTAAAGAAATCGTGGCTCTTCAGGTTGTTCTGCATGGGATTTCCATTTTTATGCCCTGCTTCAGTGCTCTTTTCATTACACACCTAAGTTAGCCATGCACAGTGCAGCCTTCCTAAGATGTGCACATTATGAGCTGAGCAAAAACAAAACAAAAAGCTCCATGCAAATGTACAGCATGACTTGCAGAAAGTCAGAACTCAGGCAAATCCAAATCAAATTCTATGGAACATTTAAAGGCACTCCTCAACAAGGGCTAGTTCCATAGAAAATTTCAATTTTCTACTCCCAGCAATTTTGATAGAAGGACTATTATTTTAAAAGGGGCCACAATTCCTTTTTTTTATAATTGAAAAACGTCATTTATCCCACTCTCCTCATACTCAAAAATGGCTGAACTGTTTCTCATGTGTGCGCACCCAAAAAAATCCAGCTTCAGGCAGAGACTAAGGATGGAAATTGTCAGCCCAACAGATGAAAAAGGATGTGTGACTATAAGCAGGGGACGCAGGGTAGTCTGGACCCCATCTATGCTACTCAAGTGGCATAAAAGGGGCAAACATTCAGCAGAACCTGCCCCTAAAATCCCCCCAACATAAGGCAGCTTCCTAGTAAATTTAGAGCTGCCAGAACACCTCAATCCTGACCCCTCAAAGCCTCCAGCATAGGGGATACCAGGGGATGGAAGGAAAGGGGTATGGCTGGGGTGTACTGTACTGCAGCTGTCCTCAGCTGCTGAATGGCCCCTGTGGCCCTTGTGCCAAGCATATACTAGAGCAGTCCTGAGACTGCTCTAATTTATGGTAGGGGCCAGGTGGCTCCAAGATGGTTTTGTAAGGGCCTTTTTTCTCCTCTCCTTTATTCCTGCACTGAGCAAAGCTTGGGTGGAATAGACACAGGCCCACAGGGGTTAGAATAGAAACCACAATGTAACTTCAACTACAGTATTTACTGCTGCAGCAGCTGCTTCTGGTGTAATAAATCCAACAATAAAACTCCCCTGCCATACTTCCTGAATTGCTACTTGTAGGAGTGCAGTATGATAACCAACTATTTCTTCCCAGTGCTACATATATAAAGTTTATAAAATCATATGTTCTACCCATCTACAGTCTATGAACGTTGTTGTGCAGCATTACCGTTTTGGAATGTAATGTAATGAAAGTCTTGACATGTAATGAACTGCCCTATTGTTTTGAGACTGAAATTAGCTCAGAGACGTGATGCAGACCTGGGTTTAACTGCACTCTGGTAATAACAGACTGTTTTCACATTCCCTGCACTGAAGGATTTGTCCCTGGGATTAATATGTGTCTTGTAGATTGAGTTAAAGGGCCCCTAACTTCAGGAGGTACATAGATCTTACTGACTTTATACAGCTTTTCCTGTGCTGTTTGTGAACCACTAAAAAGCCCTGAAACTAATTGTACTCATCACATGGATTACTTGATCAAATAACTTTTCCAGTAACAAGTGAACAAAGTAGAGGGACAGATTCTTTGCCCTTGTTCTGCCCCCTTAGTGTTGGCTGAGTGGTGCAGAGGGGCTGGAAACTGGCCATACCTACCCAAGAGAGAACTTCTCAGCGGGAGGAAATCAACTGGTGTAAAGCCAGTGGAATCTATGCTCACTGCCTGCACCCATCCAAGTCTGGGTGTGAAGTGAAACAGGGAGGCAGGGCACAGCTCTGTCAATTCACAGCTGGCATCTGGTCCCCTAGGGAACAAACTAGCTGTAAGTTACTGCAGCCCCTAGGCTGCTCTATCTTACATCAGGGCTGGGATGCTTTGAAAGTCAAGGAGCTGTAACCCCAACAACTTCCCCCTTCCCTGCCTTCACCAAGTGGATTTAGGCAAAGAAGGGGAGACTCTGGTGTAGATTATCTGTCAATCCATTTACCAGGAAAGTGGCAGAAATTTTCCTTGCTTTCTAAGTCCAGTAATCATCAGCATGGGTTTGATTTTCTAAATATTCTATGCTCCCTAAAGTCAGGTTCTTTTCCCAGCAGGGCTTTCTGAGGTGGGCACATACCTGGTCCATCAGTCTCTTTGCTTGCCTAGCCTAGACAACCTATTCCCTGTACATGTTTCCACAGAGATTATTTGGCAGAACAAATGGTCAGATTTATTGCCCACTGAGTGGAGATGCTTTTTCTTTGTTTTCTTCTCCTCTTCTCTATTTTCTCAGAACAGCAAATAAATTGTGGGTGAACCATCTGGGAACAGGACTCACATCTGGCGACGTGTTGCCCTGCCAGCCGGCACCCTGAGGGCCAGCCCTCTACAAGAATCTGCCATTATTTTGTGTTTATATTCATCTGCTTTCTCATGTTCAACTGTGTCACTCGAAACACAGTGTTTTGCTGATGAATTAGACCCAGAAGGTACCACAAATTGATTAATTCCAGATGGTTGAGTTGAACAATTTACTCACTTTCCCCTATTGCTCACAGCATGGAATTTTCTCTCTCTCTGGAGTTAAATCCCAGCACTCTTCTGTCAGGAACTGGGTCACTCTTTGTGCTTTTTTTTTTTCTTTTAAATCTTCAAAGCACCATACAAACATCAGCTAACACAACCTCAGACAATCACTATGAGGATGGTAAGCACTGTGCTGTAGATCTTGTTGATTAGATCAGTAAATTGAGGCACAGAGAGTAAAGCCAAACATTCTCACATTTACCTGTCTTAAATTAGACCCCTAAATTAATGGCCTTGTTTTGAGAGGCACTGAGCATGCAACATTCCCACTGAAGTCAGCCAGAGTAAGAGAGAACATAATCTGGCCAAATGTATTAGGAAGACCCCTGCCAACTGCAGTGAGTAACAGATTCTTCAGTAGCAGCTCCCTGCTAATTAAAATAATCTAACACACATTTTTAGATGTAGAGAACAAGAGCTAACAGTGCACAGATCAGTGCAGGCAAACCATAAACCTCCTCGAGTGAGGTGCTCGAGTGAGACGCAACCTTTGAGCTTTAGCTCCCTGCATTGACACATTGCAAACAGAGTCCTAAATTAAAACAATCTTTTTTCCATTTCAAATTCTTTTTTCTTTGTAGGAAAGGCAATAAGGGTACATGTCATGGAGGGCACCTACTGAGTTACGCCAGGAAACAGTGAATAAGAATATATTAATACATAGCGCAGAACTGCCACAAATCATTAACAAGTGTGATTACGGCTTCCTTTTCTTTGTTTTCATGGGATGTGTGTAGTGACTTGCTCTACAGCTGATGGGTACAGCTGCCTTCCTCGCAGGTCTGTATTAGAACTCCAGTGAGGGGAATGAAACCAGAACCAGCAAACTTCCCAGAGAAGGAACACCTCCCCCACAAAGGAAAATCACTCTTTATCTGTGTCTGAAATAATAATGAAACTACCTTCAGAAATAATACATCAAAACTATATTCATCTCCTTTATGTAGGTACCATGCTGATCTTAACTGATGTCATTCTAAACTTGGATGGTTTTAAAGAGACGAGGTGGGTGAGGTAATATCTTGTCTCTCTAATATCCTGGGACCAACATGGCTACAACTGCACTGCATACAACTGTCACCCTTCTGCCCATCAGAGTTGGCAGCAACAAGGGCTGGGTTCAGTATCTAGGGGTTCCGTTCCAATAACACAATGCAAAACCGGCTTGAGCCCCCACCCCCGCTGGGCGCCTCTAAGAGGCAATACTTCCCCTCTCGCAAGCACAGAGTCTGAGTGTAGCAAAAGCCTTTTAATAACAGAGAGAAACAATGTGGCATTATGTTGGGGAAACACCACCAACAGGATTCATAACACAGCCCATGAGCAAAAACCCACCCCAAGCAAATTGGGCCATGTCCTTTCCCTTTGGTTCTTGAGTCCAGCAACCCAAAAGTCACCCAAAGTCCCAAAAGTCCAACAACCCAAAAGTCTCTGTCTCTGGTCAGTGCAGCCCCCGAGTTCAAAAGTTTATCTGCAGAATTTTACCTCCCAACCTGGGTAGAAATGGGGGAGGGGGGGTAAGGGGCACCTTACATGGTCTGAAGCCAATTGCCCCACCTCTTCGTGGGGCTCTGCTCCGCTCCACCAGCCGTCCCACGAATCGCTCTGCTCCGCCAGCCGCTCCGCTCCACTCCACCAGCCGTCCCATGAGCTACTCCCCCATCCCACAAACTGCTCCACAATATATCTTCAGGCCCCCCCACTACTTAACACAATGCTCAGTGATTTCAGCTCTTAGTAATTTTAGGTCTTTAGTGATTTTAGCTTGTAGTAGGGGAAGCTTCAGTGCTGGTGCACCGTTGGCCCAAAGTGCATTCAGCTTAGCAGCCTGTAACTCCTAGTAGAATCAAAACTAGCTCTGATCTTTCACAGGGGAGAGGGAGAGGGAGCAATTGGCATGTAGGGCCCTCACCAGGGGCCCATACCACCAGGTATTAATACCTGTCCCCAGCCTCTTAATTCACTGGGCTTTGGAACCCATGTCCCTTGCCTAGCGAGTGCTGCTTAGTTGATGATCAATCATAACAAAAGGCCAAGTACAGTTCCACTGTCCTTGATTCACATAATCAGGATAATAACAGTTTATTCTTCCTGCCCCAATAACAGAGAATCTTGGGCTCCTACAGCAGCCAAAGTGACCATCTAGGCGGGGGGGCGTGTGCCTATGCAAA